TATTACACTGCCACAATCTTTACAGGAGCCAACCAAAATACCTCAAATAATGGTATTACTGAAGTGTTGACAGATAATGATTTTTGTAATATGCAAACTAGCTCACATAAAAGACATTTAAAAGTTTATAAAATTCAAATTTTGTAAGAGAAGAGCTGGAGACAGCAATGGAGGCAACACCCCAGACAGGAGGAGGGGTCCATTTTGAGAAATTGATTTAGAGACTGTGTGCATTCCCACCCCTGGCAAGCCAGAACAATGCTTTGTCAACTCTGAGTGTTAGAGAATACAAAAATCAAAGCTCCAAAGGCAATCAGTCAGAAGGAAGAAAAAAGTGAGGTTCCAGAAACTGCTTTGAAGAAGTTTTATTTGGTCTAGTTTTATTTAGACACAGTGGCACCCTGAAAAATGGCAATGATAACCAGAATGAGGAGAATCCCAAACATGCTCTGGCCTTGAAAGGAGCTCTCAAGTCATGATCTTTGCTGAACATATTTGTAGCTTGTTAAATATGTTCCACTTCAGAGAATGCCTGTTCAAACTCTGCTCTGCAAGTTTAAAAGCATCCTTACCCAGCCCACTGTCTTGGTGGCACAGGTCTGTGTCACTCCTGACAGCTGCTGGAACGCAGGGCTTGACCACTCTGGGAGAAGAGGAGAACATGAGCATAGTGGTGACTGCTTTGGGTGAGAGGGAGGAGTCACAAAGCAGAGCAGCTGCAAGGAGAAAATGTTAGTCCCAGATGACCGAGATAACAGACATCATCACCCACACTGAATTTCCCTAGCTGTGTCCCACCCTGTCTTGTTCCAGGCAATGGCTGCTTCCCAGAACCCCCTGAACTGTAGATGAAAAGCACCAACTCTATCTTAAGAGAAAAATGGAACCTCATCTAAATGTACTGAGTAGCAAAAGTGTCTTTTGCTTCTCAAAAGTTTGTCTTCTGACAAACATCATGGTATAACCAGAGAGGGGAGGCAGAGCCACAGCTTCAGGGGAATCAAACATGCAGCAGGATGTGCGTGTTAGTGCTGGGAACCTTATTTATCAGACAAAACTTAACATGTGAGTGTCAGCACAAAACATGAGAACATGATGGTGACCACTGAAATCAGACAAAGTTACTGCTGAGATGCAGAAGGCAGGAAGGCTATTCTCCACAGTATAAGGAATGAACTTGAGACAGACTGCTGGTCACCATTACCACTAGCTAAGAAGCCAATGGACCTCTATGTCCCAGCCTGACTTGGAGAGACGAGAGGGGAAGATGCTACTTTCTCCCAGACATGAGTTCAGTTCAAACAATTGAGTTCTCCAATTTTACCTCTGAAGACCTCTGACTAAATTCCAGCCCCAACATTAACTTTTACTGACTTTCAGCAGAGCTGATGTGATGGACCAACCAAAGCATGCTTCATTTCTTAAACTGCTGTGATACGGCTGGAAACGTGAACACTTACGGTTAGGCAGCTCCAGGAAGAAATGAACATAGAGGTTGTCATACTCATAGCCTTGAGCTGAAACTGAGAAGAAGAGAGAATGAGCTTCAGCTGCTCTCTTCCACACCAACTCCTCTAGTATTCACTGTAGGCTTTTGGGAGAGCCAGCATCAATAACCTCAGGGACAAGTGGTTACTGCTGGAAACTGGGAAAAGCCAGGGTCTTCCAAGTAACAGAATATGACCCTCAGAGAAGATTCCCTCTCTAGACTACCCCTGTCCCAGTCTGCTCTCCTTTCTACGGATCCGTATGACTTCCTAAAACAGCTGCAGTATTTGGAACCTCTAATCTGTAAATGCTGCTCAAAGGGTCAGTTGGCGAAAACAGGGGAGGAGAAGGAGGAAGTAAAGGATTCTAGGGAATCACCTCCTCTGGACCAGCCTGTGATCCATGAATCCTTGGACCCTTTATAGTCTCAATCATCTCAGCAGACTCAGATTTTCCCCTCCAGTTACTGTTCTAGTAAGGACTCACCTATTTCTCCATTCACAAAAAGCCTCAGTGTACGAGGAGGAGTCTGTAAGAACAAGCAGATAAACGAGATAAAGGGCTCAACGACCACTGGTGGAACATCATACAGTCCCCTCCTAACAGGGTCCCACACAGATTTTGCACATCAATGATTCACTCTGCTGGTCAGACTTCTCGTATCATATTTTCCAGAAGCGAACAGTTCCTCTGAGAGAGGCTCCCTACAGAGACCAAATTTCTAGACTGCAGGAGTTCACTACTCTGTAAATCAGGTCTTTTTGCAGGCTTCGAGATGGATATAAATTGTAGTGAGAAGTCACTTGCAGAAATCATAGTCCTGTGCCTCCTGTAGTGTTCCTCCCTAAGGTGGGGCAGGTGGGAAGCACAGGATGAGCTGAGACACTCTATGGAAGTACAAGAAAGTACAACAACTTTCACACTTCAGCAAAGAAGATTTGAACAAAAAAGACTGCATTATGGGTAATTCAGTGAGAAGGGAAACTGTGCATGAGTTCCAGGGTGGGAGCAGCTGTTACTTTCAAGTGGCACATAGATCTGTTTGACACTCAAGAAGTTATAAACATGCAAACCCTCCTTTCTTCTTAAAGTATTAGAGTCAAAGGCCTTCAGACAGTACATGCAGTCTCACAGAGACTGCAGCGTTCAGCACACTCTACTGCTGGTCTGACAGATGCCAGATGGATCTCTGCAGGCCTCATATCCATTGCAATGTGTCCCTTTTGACTGAATTTTCCGTGAGAAGCCACTAAAACTGCCACTATATCCACAGAAAGAAACTATCTTTGAAGACTGTGGTACAAACGGCAGCCATGCTAACCAAGTCAACACTCTCCAAAGGCAGCAGGGCTACAGGTCCCTGCCAAGTGCCACTGGTACTCACCATTTCAAATTCTGAGCCTACAAGACCACTGAGGTATTCCTTGTGCCGACCATACAGCTGAAAACACAGAACAAGCAGATCAAAAAAAGTGTCTTTTTTATCATATATATTTTTACTTATTGCAAAAATTGTAATGCATATAACTTAAAACCAATTTAAATTGTTGAGAGGCTTAGCATACAGGGTTTTTAAATTGTTATAGCAGACACAGAGAATATAAGCATCTAACAGAACAAAGACGTATAACTGCTAACATTGCATGGAACTTTGGCTTCAGAGAAGACCTTGTCAAAGGCCAATCTGGGGAAAAAGAAGCTCTGAAGAATCAGCAGAGCTTAAATGACATGTTAAAAGCACAGGTATAAACTATTCCAATGAAATTAACAGATGGGAGATCAGTGCAACAAAATCATGATTTCCTTATTGACCACAAAAATGAAAAACTAAAACATTAAGTACCTTTATAAACTGCCACAGAATTCAGAATTCAGAAAAATCAAGACATAAAATTATATCCAAATACGCTATGACATTATGGGTAACAAGAAATCATTTGATAAGTACATAGGCAGCAAGAGGAAGACCAAGGAAAGGGTTTGCCCACTGCTGGAAAGAGAAGGAAAACCATTGGCAGGTGACACTAGAAAGGCAGGAATTTAGGTGGCTTCTCGCCTCGGTTCTCACTACATACATCACTGCAGTCAGAAGCCAACACACTTAGTATCAGACATGATCACTACCTTGAGTAAGGAATGAAGCAGTCAGGGAGTATCTGAGTTCTCAAATTGCTGGGCATGATGAGACCCACTGCCAGTGACATTCATTTTGTCAACTTTCGGTGTCTACAGCACTAACAATTACATCTACATGAAGGTCTAAGTTCCCTTTGTCAAATCAGGAGAACCAGTCAATGTGATCAGCGCAGGCCAGTCCTTACGTCTCTGAACACACGCTGCTCGCGTTCCTCCTCCTCTGGCTGCACTTGGACAGAGACATTCTCAATGGTGTATTTCCACACCTCTTGCTTCTCTCCATCCAGCTCGATCCTGCAGAACCCGAAAACACATGGGCAAAGCTCCCTCATTACACAGTGAACAGGCGCAGGCAGCAACAGCATCCACTGTGGCATCCCGACGCTGCAATTCCCTCTCCACCAGGGCTGTGCACTAACAGCCCTCTCCTCGCTCCCAAGTGCCTGACAGCATCAAAAAGGGAGACTCACTTGCATCCAGCATATGCATAAACTGTATCCCTAGGGACCGGCACCAAAGCCTCACACATCACACATGCAGCGACACCAAGCACAAGTACACAATAGTCTAGTCTTAGAAATCTCTGGAATAAAACTAAAAAACATCCCTCAATTTAAGCGCTGGTCCACTGCCTGAAGGGTGACCAGGAGACAGCCATTTCAGCCCTCTGTATCAGCCCTGCTCACCGATAGGCTCCTTTGGTGCCAGTAAAGTCAGGTTTCACTGTGATCACCCCGTTGCCATCTACCTTGATTGTGCAAAGAACATGTTCGTATTCCCTGTGACCAAGCCTAATGGAAGACATCAAGAAACACATTCTAAACAGAGAACACAGGCACTTGCTTGCTCTGGAACAGCAGACTCGGTAAAGGCATATGGGGGGAACAAACACATCCATACTTTCCTACATTAGTTTAAGAAGCCTTTTGGAGATATACACTCAGTTACCTCCCAAATGAGGAAAGAAGCAGAAAGAAATGGCAGTCTGAGTTACTGAGCTCTTGGAATTTTCTCTACTTAACTAATGAATGAAACGGGAGACTCGAGCAAGGAGGGAAGATGGGTTTCCCTTTGGGAAATTAAGATCACTTCAGAATTCTACTTACTTCCCATAAGGTCCCAAGTCCCCCATGATGTACATGGTCTGGACAGGAGTGTTAATCACATGACTGTTCTTTTTAAATTCTTCCGAGGGTTCCCAGGTGATGATTTTCGACTTCAGAGAACTTGCTTCTCTGTCAACAACAGAACAGCACAAGTCACAGCTCACCTCAGCAGCCCAGCACAGGCAGCACTAAAGGCCCCACAGCAAGGAGTCAACCTGCTGGATTCCAGGTGCAACATTGCTCAAGCCACCAACTTCCACAGACCAGGCTGCTCGGCAGCTGGGGCACCAGCACCAGGAAATCTGCATTAGCAAGCTCTAAGTCCCAGTTTGCACTCACATTGGCCTACGGTCTTGCCTTCTCCTTCTTACATTGGCCATCCTCTCTGCCAGATATGATGGCACTTCATGATCTGAGTCAGTTACCTTCTGGCAGTGCTGGAAGAGAGAAACAGAGAGGAACCAGCTTAATTATAACAGGGCATCTTTCCCAAGCACAGCTCCACTTTTGGAGGACAGAACAGGTATGTATACACCCACATACAAGGACAAACTGTTAAAAAACTGCAGATTTCGTCCACTGTTCTTGTGGGAAAGTACAGCTAAACTCCACCCAGCAAGTTACCTACAGAGCAATGCTATAAAACCAAGTCTCTCCAAGCTATCCCTGACCATTGTTCTGAAACAGGGAAATCTCATCACAGGTCTGGGGCACCAGGTGAAGCTGCTTTGCAGCAGCAGTATGCTCTCCTGCACTCAGGATATCCAGCATGGCCACGAACGGACAAACATTCCCTCTGCAGGGGGCCTGGTGGTTTTGACAGACACTGCTGTACAGATAATGCATAACTAAGAGCTGGTACCTCCTCTAGATTGGTGAACCGGTCATGATCAGTGTAGGTGAAGATGCGACAGTTCTTCCGACCTCCAGCCTTCTCCAGTTTCAGTATCTCCTCGTGGTACTGCCGGTCCAGGGGAGTCTGGCAGGCCGACTCATTTTGGTACAGATCCACCTCAAACTGAGAGCACCACGGGTGAAGTGCGAAAGCTGCCTTTCACCAGCACAGTCAGAGCTACAGACACTTCTCAGCTGAGATTTCCAAAGCCGCCACAGAGAGAAACAAGATCATT